TTGTGCTATCTATTTTCATTAGGAGCAATAATAGTAGAGCCTACTGAACTTGATTTAAATGTTCAATGCATCAACCAAGTGACATTAATTAGGTTGGCTGTAGTGATTCAACAAACAAAGACTATTAGTAGTCAAAATTTACCATCAAAGTTCTACTATATGTGTGCCTTGCATATATCATACACGCTATTGTTCGAATATGGCGGTCTTATTGCTTCTTGGTGTTAGTGAATACTTTCAAGAACGCAAAAGTTTAAGTCGTTCAAAACAATAAATTCAATTACATATGTCTCAATCAAAGAAGGTTTTTGAAACGGCACTTTATTAATATGCCACCATAGATACATATACCTATAACTCTTACATCAACAAAAATCTCGTAGGGTTTTTCCAAGAAAAGTCGAGCAATGATAATTGAAATAGTCTGGAATTAGAAGCCCTGTCTTCGCAAGAAAGGCTATTATGATAATGTAGTAAGTGAATGAAGTTAACGTTAGGCTTATTTATCTACTTTCTTACAGTTTATTTACGAATATATTACTTAGTCATAATCCACTGTGAAAGTTTAGTCTAATTTCTTCAAACACTGATAAATACATTGTTTCCCCAATGTATTATTAGTCAGTAACAGTACGACAAAACTACTGTTAAAACTAGAATTCTGTGAAAATGTTTTTCTCTATTCTGTTCAGAGGAGAAATCACGAAAACGTGAATACACTGTTAGAAATGATAGCAAAAACTCATATGCTATTAATCATTTAACGCATCAATCTCTGAAACCGCCAACCACAGCATTCTAGCTTCTAATACTCTCTCTTTGGAAAGTTGACCAAAGTCGACTTTTGACACTTTGCCAGAGTTAGAGAGTTCCAACATGAATGTTATATATGCGATGCAAATGTATAATCTCTATAAAATAGTAAAGAAATATCCAAAAAAAAATGGTATCTTCAAGTCATAATGGAACTTATATTTTCCTATAATTGAATGTCATTTATATATGAAAATAGTCACAGTTATTTCTTTTTAGTGAAAATTTTAGTTTAAAGAAGTGGTTAATTATATTAAATGTATAAGGTATATATTAAATTATTTTTCACATCACAAATATCATACAGGGTGACCCACAAGTAACAGAACAAATTTTTTTTTTGGATTTTTTTTATTAAACATAGTAAGTTAAAGCTTATATTTATACCACATATACTAGGTGACATATTTCAAAGATTCAGCATATGAGCAGTGTGTAAGTGTAGTAATTTGTTAAAAGCGTACAAATATAGAGCAACCAAAAGTAAGAAAACAAATCTGAGTTCTATTAAAACGTTTATTAAACCAATAGAACTAGAAAATGACATCCACAATAGTATATAGTTTTGAAGTATTTTTCATAGTGAAGCTTTTCACAAAAATTGCTCAATGTGTTCATCCTCTAGGTCTTTGCAAAGCTGCAATCGCTCAGGTACTGGCTGACAAGCTCGTCGACATAATTCCACTGACATATTTTGCACTTCTGTAATGATAGTACCCTTAAGTACTTCAAAAGTTCGATGTTTTGTCGTATTCACACGGTCTTTGATGAAACCCAATAAAAAGTAGTCGGCTGGAGCCAAATCCAGAGATCGTGGTGGCCAATCAATTGGTCCACGCCGATCAATCCATCGATTAGGAAACTTTTTATCCAAGAAGTCTCGAACGAAGTGACTGTAACGAGCTGAAGCTCCATCGTGCATATAGAATATTTTTGCTAAGCTCATTCTGTATTCAATATCAGAAGCAATTTCTTCAGTAAGCTTTTCAAGATAGCTTTGTGTAGTAACAGTGTCACGGAAAAAGGAACGGACAGATAAATGCCTTCAGACCAAATTCCAGCCCAAACAATAACATCCGGAGCATTCACTTCTTGCGTGATGATGACGTGATGATTTTCTACAGCTTAGTATACACAATTATGTCGATTGACGTGTCCATTCAACTTGAAAGTAGCTTTGTCAGACCATATAATTCGATCAGATAAGACAGAGTCTTCAGCGACTAAGTTCAAAAAGATGTCGGCAAATTCGCGCCGTCGATTGGGGTCGTCTTCGGTGAAGGCATGTAGTAAGCGAGAACGATATGGGAGGGATCCATGAAAAGTTAAGTTTATCCTGTTTTACTTTTAGTCCCTTCAAGCTACCCCTTTAGTCTTTTTGGTCTCTTTAGCACCCTTTGGCATCCTCACTTCGACGACACTCTTATCCATACCAACACCTATATTCTAAAAGGCCTAAAGGGACTAAAGCGTGACGAATATGGAAATCTTACCAGTTTCTACAGCATAAAAGTAAAGCGGGTTAAATTTATTTTTTCGTGAACTTATGAATCGTTCAGCTTTTAATCAGGTTGAAAAAGAAGCAAAACAATATACGCGAATCCAATACTGACAGACTCAAATATAATTCATACCCAAATCAATATGAGCATAAATTAATAAAGCATATCCCAGTGAAAATAGCGACAAAACACGGTAAAAAAGTTACTAGGACTTACATTCGTGCAATTAATCATGAGTCATACGAGAAGGCATTCATTATATAATTAAAGAATTTGTAACTTAGGGTCAATCAATTCTCATGTAGTCACGAGGAAATAGGCGTGTGATTGACGAAGAAAACTTTTCTTTGTCAGTAGATTTTCCATCTTCCACTACTGTTCTTTGAATTACGGCTCTCTTAAACAGTAAATGTCCAAGTATTTATCCATTTTAGAAGAAAGACAAAAGTAGAGCCACGCGTCAGACTACTGTAACAAGGAGTTAGAAAAAATGCTCGTCCAAAATGCATCATCTTTGATATGGGGTTTGAGCCGTGAAACTCTAACCGATCAAGATGCGATGATTGTAGCAAATGCATTACGAAGAAATCAGGTGCGAACATTGATTGTTACCCGCGAAAATCATAAAAAAACACGTATTGCCGCATGATAGACGATCTTAAACTTTTATCTCTAGCCTGGCTATTAATCTTCATCAATTCTTTTTATCAGATACTAAACAGATAATTTTGTTTTGCATTGTTTGATGGCCTGTCTGAATAGTACAGCTAGCTCGCTAGTGATTTTGATGACTTGTCTGAGGCACAAGTCAGCTATTGAGTTTCAAGTCTCAAAAAGTTGCATAAGCACGATTTTTTTCTGATAAACAAAAACGCTCATCATTGGTTTTCGTTAAAAATTTTTCATTGACAGCGAAAGATTTTCATTCTAGAGTAGGCTAAACATTTTTCATAAGATCCTCATTTGAAAGCTAAATATGAGAAAAGACGAGTTTTTGAATGCCACTTAAATGAAATACAATTAGGGTCTCTTCTATCAAACGCATTTTATGCAATTTGTAGCAATGCTGGAGATTAGAAAAAAATTCGAAAGTTACTTAAAAACAAGCATGCATTCAAAGAAACATGCAAATGTTTATTTTCATCGAAATACAACCTTCGAAAGGAAAGACTGATTTGTTTTATCAGAAAAAAAGTTCAATGGTGAAAAAGAAATGCTTCAGTATTGACAATGTTTAAATGGAACTGTAACCTTAGTTGCGGACGGCGAAGGAAAGTTTTGGCAGATTCTAGTTAATCTAGCTCAGATTTTTCGTACACTTCTTCTTCAATCCATTGAAAATGATTGTGAATCTAAGGTAAAATTTTTCTTTTTCAAGCCTTCTGACTATGCTGCTAATGCTTATCTTGATTTCTCGTATACGTGCACAGTTCAAATTTCTTCAATGTTTTTTCTGCATCCAAACGCTCCGTCAGCACTTCCAACGTAGCACTGTGCCATACGGCGTTCTCCATTCATCTCTTTTTCCCATTTTCGATTTTGTTTTTGACATCGACTGTCAAAAACCTTTATCTTGAAGAAAATCTAATCAGTGACCAAGAGACACCACAGTTCGCCAGTGTTTTACGGAATAAAATCGTACGTAACAGTCTCTATGATCTTTTTTTCTCATTATCATCTGCACTTTTCAAAAAGACACTTACTATACTTAATCTTTACAATGATCGTATTGGTGACGAAAGAGTCAAACAGCTTGTCGATACTTTACGGACTAATAAGGTGAATGGCTTATTCTATTTACTTCTCTCATCACTGCCAGCATTATTTGATGCAGACACTTCAAGAACTCGATCTTGAAGGCAATGAAATCGGCAATGTAGAAGCAGAATATCTTGCCAACGCTCTTTGCAATAATACGGTAAATCGCATTCTCTATTCAGTATTCGTATTGCCATAGACACATTTTGCATAGACACTCACCACACTATCCCTCTGGAAAATCACATCGACGAAGCAGCGAAGAGACGAACGGTGGACATTTCAAAACGAAATTGATTATGCACTTGTAATAAAAATGCATTCAACTTGTAATTGGATGACTGCTTCGATTAGATTTTATTTCGAAAAAAAAATAAAATAGTAGTAAGTGATAAATCAAATTGCTTGTACAGGAACGAATGAAACTTACTTAATATCGTTGTGTCCATTGTTTAAGATACAACAAGAAGTCAAAGGCAGATACGTTTCGATTATGATCTCGAACACATCTCTCTATATTTACATTAAATTTCGTATTCTATTGCACTCAGTGAAGAAGAAAACGTAGCATACATATTGACAACTCTATCCATGATTATGACAAATCCCCGATTTTATTATTATGTGCGATGAATCATAAACAGAACCACATTTTTGTATATCAGACATCAATGACTATATTATCAAAGATGCAAGTCATATTCATACATCTGCATTGTTCGTCACCAATAATGACAGCATCAATATCAGGAGGATACACTCGGCAATACTCATAAAATCAAGTTATTTTTTTATTTGTATGAAGCTTAGCATAAAGCATTAAAGGACATTAAAAAGAGCAATGATCAAGCTGAAAATGTCTTTGAATTACGCATGGAGATTGTTCCGTCATATAAATAGTCTTAGACTAATTTTTTGAATTTTTTCTTAAGAAGCCTGCCAGGTACCGTAGGCAAGTGTGAGCGAAAGGCCAAATGCAACCAAAATATGAAGTATTAGAAGAAGAGTTTTTAAACGCTCCTTAAGTATAGTTTCTGGAGATGATCGGTCATCGACCGATATTGTCACACTACCATTATCAAGAACGTTCATTTGCAGAGGATCGTCTCTGATTTTAGGGTTAAATGGTCGCCAATGTTTGCGGTGGAAAATTTCGACACATTCAAAACCAATCAATATAAGGAACTCTGTCGATGACCATGCCACAAGAATTCGCCAAGGTTTGTTCATTACAGAATCAAACATAGTAAATAGAGTAGCAAGAAAAATAGTTCCAATCGAGAAAATCAATCCACCCATGCCAATGATTGCATGTGCATAGTTAAAAATAAATCGATGTTGATGATCAGGATGACATCGAAATAGAGCCATTATTGGTTGGATAATAGCAGCACTAACAACAAGCATACCGACGATTGAATGGGCAAATTCACGCGAGAGACTTTGAGAAACCCATGTACCTCTCTTATACTTGAGAATAGCTGCAAATGCAGTCAACGTCATTATTGCAGCAAAAATCATAATTGATCGATGTACAGCAAACCATATTGGTTTACCGCAAAGTTTTCGTGTAGGCCAAGATTGTTTAAAATGTCGAGCAATGATAATACCTGTTGAAACAAATAGCATCCAAATAAATAACATAATAATAGCATGAGCTCGCAAGAAAATTGCTTCATTATCGTCTGATCCTTCAATATTGATCATCGTTAATGTTCCTAGTTCATTGAGTTGAATCATTTGAGTTTGTACAGATACCGAGGAATGTTGTGCTAATGAATCTATTAGATTAACATGGGCAGAAGTCAAATCTATCTTTCATGAAAAAAAGCATCTTACTTGAACTATCTAAACTGCCTACGGCTGCAAGAATACGATATTGCATACTTTGTGAAAGTAAAGAAATGCTCCGTTTTCTTCGTTGACCCATTGTAGTAGTAAAATTTGAAAGAGTAAATTCACAATAGGCCACACCATTGTTTAGAGCTACCCGACTTACTTTGAATGTGCCACCATAATTTGAGTCAGCAGCAACTACGGTTGGAGACGAATAACCACCGGGATTGATAAAACGTTGAAGTTGAATTGTATCGTCATTCAAGCGTTGACATACAAATACATGATCATCACCCTATACAAAAAAAGAAATCAAAGAAGCAAAAAAACTTCTATTAAACTATACCATTCTATTATCAAGCGACAAGCCAATGCCGAGCCATTGGGAAGTGCCAAGGTTGTTGGTAACTATTGTAACAGTTGTTATTCCGCCAAAATATGTCCAATCCAGATTCATAGCTGTACTAGGCACTTGTGAAGTGATTGTAGTGATGACATCTACTGATGGTATTGAAGTCTGAGAGACAACGGTAAACGAATTTTAAAAACTCAAAAAGCATGAAAACGATATATGGATCCTACACTAGCTGATTGTGAAACTGTAGGGATAGCTGTAGGTGGAACGCCAGCGGTAGTTGTAGGTGGAACGCCAGCGGTAGTTGTAGGTGGAACTCCAGCGGTAGTTGTAGGTGGAATGCCAGCGGTAGTTGTAGGTGGAACGCCAGCGGTAGTTGTAGGTGGAACGCCAGCGGTAGTTGTAGGTGGAACGCCAGCGGAAGTTGTAGGTGGAACGCCAGG